ATCAGCAGCTTTGGTTTATGCTGTCCCTGTCACCCCTATCACCACTGCCACCTCCCCAGCCCCACACAGCTGCACTAGCCCCAGCAGAGGGGGACACACTGCTTATGCCAACACTGCTGCCAAAAAAAAATAAATGAAATAAGTTAATGCTAACAGACAGTACCTCCAACTGCAGGCTGAATAAACGGGAGTCTGCCAGAGGTGGCTTCCATCCACCCAGCTGTCCCAGCGCAGCATGTTTGGAAAACTGGTCAAAGCAATCTCTCAGCCATCCACAGTGATGGCCAAGAGTGAGGTGGCTCCCTGGGCAGGAGCAAGCAGTGCTGACCTTAAAAGAGGGAAGGAATCATAGATTCATAGAATAGTTAGAGTTGGAATAAGTCCTGGGATTATTTCTTAATAAAGTATTGGTAAAATTAAAGAGTTTTAAAGCATGAGAAGGATACCAAGGCAATACAACGAGATTGTTCTAATCAAATTTGTTCTGCATAAATCTTTTCTCTTTCCCTCCATGACAGGAGCACCTCTTCCCTGAAAGCAGAGCAGCTGCAGATGTTGGGACTCTTCACTAAGGTTGCTGACACCATCATCATTCATGTAAATAAGTGCGGCAGGAACTGTGGTCTCTGCCAATGTCAAGTGCTGCCCCTGACAGTGTCAGCAGACATAAGGCAGGGGAGCAGGAGGGATGTCACTGCTAGCCATGGCTTGGTGCAAGTCTGGGGAGTGCTACAGATCTCTGGGCATACAGCCCTTGGGCTGGGAATCTCCTCTTACAATGCTTCTGGGAGCAGACATGAAACTGGATGGAGATCCATGATCAGAGCAAAACTCCATAAGGTGTTGAGTGTGAGTCCGTGGGACTAGTCTAAGGCAGGTTTATTCATGGTTTGGATGCTGAAGTGCAGAGGATGTTCACGAGAGATCCAGGGACTGCAAGTGTGGTGGCAGGGAGAGGGGACAGGATCTGATCTTGGAGTTATCTAGAAAAAAAATAATTGATAGGATGCCATTCAACCAGGACAAGAAGAGCACACAGCAAGGACGCCAAACTGAACAACTGCACAAATACAGGGAGGAAACTGCCTGCCCAGTCATGAGTCTGCAAAAAACCGAACACTCTGGAGTAATGAAGGGCCACGAACAGGTTGTGTCAACACTGTGAATACTTTCTAGCTGTGACTTGCAAATAGGAGTGGCACCTGGGAAACATGGAGAGAAACTCCCCTCTCCAGCTGCCATCCTCGGAACTCAGTTACTGTACAGCGTCAGCTTTTGGCATTCCTAAGTCCAAAACACTAGAGAGAGAATGACTGATAGTCCAGAAACGTGGTGTCTGAGCAAGCACTGAAGGAACCAGCATAGATTAATTTAGGAAAGACTGTGGCTACACAAGATGTTGGCCCTCAAACAAGTTAAGGGAATACAAGGCAAGGCACGGCTGTCATCAGGGAAATTCAGCTCTATGCTGGCTTTGATACCAAGCCCTGGTTGTGTGATGGCAAATTTTCCCCCATCACTATCGGGAAACCACTCACTCGCTCAAGGATTCCTCGTACGTTGTGAATGAACAAACTTTGCTGCCAACTCCACGCTCCTTCTGGACCTTAGCTGCCCTAAGGTGTACCGGGAGCCTTCTCTTCTCCAGGCTGAAGAAGCCCAGCTCTCTCAGCCCGTCTCCACAGCAGAGGTGCTCCAGCCCTCTGAGCATCTTCGTGGCTTCCTCTGGACTCGCTCCAACAGGTCCTTCTTCTGTTGCGGACCCCAGAGCTAAATGCAGTACTGCAGTGGGAGGTCTCACAAGAGCAGAGCAGAGGGGGAGAACCCCCTACCTCGACCTGCTGGACCCGCTGCCGGTGATGCGGCCCAGCACACGGTTGGTTTCAGGACGCCGAGCTCACCCTGCTGGGTTCCCGCAGGTTTTACCTCCATCTAGTGGCAGCTCCCAGCTTGATACGGGTGCCTCAGCGGCGGTGAAAACACATTCCAAGGGGGACCCAAGGCAGCTTGGCTACAGGCTGGGGCAATCAGACCTCCTCGGTTTGGGGAGCGAGGTGACTACACATAGGGATGTGTCTGGAGTCTGCCCCGAGAGCTGACCACAACGAGCAGCCCCTCTGTCAGGGCAGCGCTGGCACAGGGCTAAGGGGTAAAACCAGACCCTATTGACAGGGAAGGTTGCAGCATTCCAAGCCCAGGGTCACACCTTGGCAGAGGGTCTTTACAATTCCCTTCATGCTGCTGCTCCAGAAGAGAACTGTCAGGGCCCACACCCGTGTGTCCTGTCAGCCAGCCCAGGGCCAAATCCCAAGCACCTGGACAACCTGTGAAAGAAGATTCATACTGAAAGGGTCATGAAACATGGTTACAGCAAGACCCCCCATCCACAAGCACATGGGGTATTGGCTGAGTGGGCCCCAGCAGGCATCAGTGCACATGCAAGGGTTGCAAACTGCTGGCGGGTGGGGGCACACCAGGAGATGTCCATCTACCCCACAAGTGCCTGAGTTGTCTCCCAGTATAGTTACATATAGACAGGTCACAGTACATAGGAGAGGGGTCGGCGCTCTACCCATCCCCTACCCTGAACAGGCCCAAGCTGCAGACAAGTGCTGCAGCTGTGGCTGTGTGCTGCCCATTGCAGCCTGTGCTTTAGCCTTGTGCCCAGGCACCCAGGACAGGTGGCAGCCCCCAGCCTCCCCAGTTCCACCAGCAGACCAGCCCCACCAGCAGACCAGTGCCAAGCCAGGCCCTGGCTTCCCTGCCCAAACAGCCCTGCCTGGAGCTGCAGTGGGGAGACCGGTGGGTGAAAGGAGCAGCTCAGACCTGGGGCGACAAGAGTGCCTTTGGCGGCCACAGCCCAGAGCTGCAAGCACAGGCGGGTGCTGTCACCTACACCAGGACATTTCTGGTGTGTAGTCACCCATGAAGCAAGGGCGAGGCTGCTAACATATGTCGCAGAACCACACTATCCAGCCTTGTGCAATGCCAATGATGCTCTGTACATGGGTACTTCGCATCAGGCAGAGTGCAGCCTGTGCACAGAACTGCTCTTCCCCTTCCACAAGCTTTTAACACAGAACTCGTGTTTAGAGGCTATCCCAGCTCCTTTGTGGGCTGCAAAACCAGCTCAGCATGGGCTCATCCTTCGCCTTGCAGATCCAGCTCTCCCTCCCAGGTTTTGTTCTGCTGGATGAGACCCTGGCACACAGGAGCAAAATGGGCTATTGGATCACATGGCAGCATCAGCAGGAGCTGCAGCTTGTGGCTGGGAATGGAGATTCAGATCTTTCCCAGTACTGGGCAGTTGGAGTGTAATAAAATGACATCATTTGGCATAGCACAAGCCCATTTTGTTAGGCACAAAAGATCACAAAAGATCAGTGTGGAGAAGTTTGGAGGGTATAAACTAGTGAAGGAAAAAATCTGACACTCATCACTGAAGCAAGATTTGTTCTACTTTTTTTTTTTTCCAATCCTTCTGCAAGGATATGGTACAACAAAATACTCCAATCAGTCTGCTCTTGCAAAAGCTCTTGCAAATGCTTTGTCCCAGCCCTGATCACAGGGGTTTTCCCAACAGTTCTTTTAAACCAGGCCATTTATTTTAACTGCTTGCAGACTGGCACCCCTTTTAGAACAGCCCATCTGGGCAGTATGTAATGGCCCCACACAGGCTGCATGAGGAGCCCCACACAGGCTGTCACAGAAGTGGAGCCAACTCCAAGAGCCAATATGATGGAGGTAGTGGGAAGAGACCTGGGGGTGAGGGCAGGAACTCATCTTCTGCTGTCAATATGGTCTTAGGTCAGATTGCCAACTAAAACCTTCTCCTAAAGCCCTCCACTGCTGCAGGAAACCTGACTGCTGTGGAGAGGGAAGAAATCAGTTCCTTGGGGTCTAGCCCTGCAGCGCTGCCTCCGGACCTCTCCTCCGTACACCCACAAGCTCGTTTTATAAAGCACAAGACATATCCTGACGATTCTGCTCACCACTTTCTTTCACAATGTACGCACAAAACCACTAGTTATTCTGCTGGCAGAAATACCTACATGTGCTGTGCACCCTACTTTACACCAGAATTATCAACTTTCTGTTTTCCTGCTAGTCTCACACCCCAGAAAGGGGACACTCACAGCCCACACCATTGCTGTCCCACACAGGCATATACCCCGGTAATGCCCCATAATAATAATATAAACACAGAGCCTTTCCGTGTCCCAGTGCCACTAGATGGCACCACGCGTGTACCTTCCCTGCCCGGTGTGTCCCCTGAGCCACTGCGGAAACCTGGGGACCCAGCCCAGCCCTCGGTGCAGAGCAAGAGATGCTGGTGCCTTCTCCTCCGTCCCGCAAGGACCATGGCGTGCTGGGGCTAAGGCAGATATTCAAGCATTAAAATCAAACCTTCAGCGGTGGTTTTGGGTGTTTCCCCGTGGGGGAACTGCCTGTTGTGGCTTTTGTCATGCTGCCATTCCCACCCAGGGGCCAGGCGTTGCTCCGCAGCTGTGTGCTGGCAGAGCACGAAGTGGGACAGGAAAGCCCCAAAGGTGGATGCAAGTTGCTCTGGTTACTATTGGGATCAATGTATGAGTTTCCCACAATGGACAGGCTCCCCTTGGGAGAGGGGATGAAAGGGAATAAAATACAATTTATTACATTTTGCAGTCAGCTTGCCTTCTCTGAGGTTTCACAGTTTTAAGCATTGACTCTCCTCATTTGCTATCCAGCAGAGCTCAAGCATGTCCCAGGTCCTCAGTATTACCTGCTTTTTCACCATTAAGCCTTCCATTCACTGTCACACATGTTTGGCAGAGCCACTAAGTAAACCTGGGAAGTTCAGGTGGCAGCTCAGCAAATGTCAGGTCTTTCCTCAGACCTTGCAGCATAGTTAAGAAGTGTCTGTTTTCCTCTGTCCTCAGTACCGAGCACTGAAGGTGACCCTCCAAGACAGGAGCTCAGATGACAGGAAGGCTGGTGAGGCTCTGCCACACGCAGCACTTCAAAGCACCCAGCCAAACCCTGGCCCCGAGCAGTGTGGGGAACATGGGTGACAAATCATTGCTCACCACACAACCTGTTGGCCTGGTGCACAGCCAGAGGGGTGATGGACAGAAAGCAGCTCCCAAAAAAGCTGGAGCATCAAACCACCAGGAGCAGTGTGTCACTCCGTGCTGCCCAGTGCACATCCAGGTGACGGGTGAGCATGGCAGTGGCATGACCCTGACACCAAGGGGATCCCAGTGAAACCCAGGATGGGAGGGGGTCTTTGTGCAGGGAGCCTCTGGTTGCTGAGCTCCGAACGATGCTGTTCTGCTTGCAATGGTGGAGCCTCTGGACATAAAGGCAAATAGGAAATGCTCAGCATGGCTCCATGGCAGGCTGAGGGCAAAAGCAGTGCTGCTCCTGCCCACATCCTGAGGCCACAAGATAATCCTGCAGAAGGATCCTGAGTGTGACCCTGCTTCCCATCCCTCTTCAGAGAGCAGCACAAATCCCACCCGAGCACTTTAACCCCAGTTTAGGGTGAAGGCTAGGAAGGAGGAGGCTGGGTCAGCTTGGGAAGGTCAGGGCACACAGTGGAGCGGCTTAAAATCCCCCCAAACAAGGGAAATCCCTCATCTCCCTTCCCCATAGCCTCCCTCTCCTTCTGATCACCCCAGATAGCACAGGAAGGGACCCAGCATCCCCTCTGCCACCACCTCCCCACCAGGGGACCCACCCGGAGCCTCCACACACACCATCTGTTCTCCCCACACGACCTGCCGGTGGATGAGGACATCCCTCCCACACCATCTGCCTCCACACCAGGTGGCATCTCCCCATCACCCAGATGTCCACCCCAGCCAATGTCCCGGGACCCTCTGGCTCTGGAAAACCTCATGTGCCGCCAGTGCTAAACCTCCTGGGCAAATTCAAGTCTGTACTCAGTCTCTTCATGACTGGATGCTACACACAGGGTGCAGAGACTTGCTGCTAAGAAACCTTACTGAAAACAGCGCTCCTCTGCACACACACACACAGTAGAAAGTGCTGCCCATCCCCTGCCCACCCAGGGAGGATAGGCACAGCAGCAGTCATGATAGCACGAGGCTGGTCCTCATCCATCTCATTTCAGGTCAGTAGTGCCAAGCCCAGCATTCCCTATGGTTACCAACCATTACTTGTAAGCAGAACATACCCTCATCTGACCATGAATGTCAAATGGCAGAAATGTTACACAGACAGAGACATGTATGTGGCAGGAGCCATTCACATGCTGTGGCATTATTTTAAATGATTGAAATGTCAAAGGAACTTTTATTTTCTCTCGAGGGTTCATCGCTTGAAATTCCCATTGGCAGAAGCTGACTCTGACCCCACTGTCGCAGTGGGCTCCATCATCCCTCCTACTCTTGAATGTGCCATGGGTGGTAGAGGAGGGTGCACGGCAGAGTTGGCACCCTTGGAAGGCAGGGTCCACCCAGCTCCACAGCCCGACTCACACCCCACAGCCAGGCTGCATCTCCACCAGCTCCCCATGTCCAGCAAAGGTGTCACTGAAGCAGCAATGGACAGCTATAAACTGCAAAGGACACAGCAGCAAGGCCTTTGGGGCAGGCATGCAATCAGGAAGGGCACAGGACAGCTCTTGTTGCCCTCTCGTGGTGCCCCAAAAGCCCACAGAGACTCCCTGGACATGTTGCCCCTTTTCTTGTTAGGGAAGCAGATTTGAGGGGGAATGGCTGCCCAGAAAAGCAGTGGCATTGCTGAGGTAGGAGAGCTTTGTTGCTTGTTTACATGGCCAGAGAGGAGCAGTAATGGCCTACATTAACACAATAGCAAACAAGGACCTTGAACCAAATCCAGCTTGGAGGTTGTGACCAGTCCATAGATAACTGGGAAGAAAAGTCAGTGTTTTCCCAGTAGAACTGCCTATTTACATCTGAAAACAGCACAAACCTTACCCAGAGGCTGGGAAAAACATCTCCTTTCACTGCCTGCTGCCTGTGAGGCTTTCCCCTCCCTCTCCAAAAGGAAATTTCCAGTAACTGAGGTATAAAAATCAATGCAAGACTCTGCTTCAGTGCTATAAAACTCATATGGGAAGAGTTCTTCATCCCACAGCCAGTGCCATGGCAAGGTGCCCCCAAAGGAGGTCACAGCCTTCGTGTGTGGGGAGCAAGAAAAGAGGCAGCTCTGTCTGCAGCCCGCTGGTGCAGGGCTTTGGGGGTGTGGATCTAGGTGCCCAAACCTGCAGGCACCACCAGAACTATGGGCTAGGCAGGATTCCCTAACAGAGGGTCCCAGGTTGCTGGTGAAGGTTGTGTTGCCATGTCATCTGCCATGACACTGTGCTGCAGCAGTCCCTAGTTTTACATGAGAGTGCATGAAACAAGGGATGGAAGCAGAGAGAAATTTATCAAGGGGGGACCATCCTCCTCCTCCACTCACCACCCACCACATCCTGGGAATAACTAGCAGGACTCAGCTAAGAATATCTTTCTGCCGTATTCCATTCACCTTCCACATGGACTCTGCATAGAAGATTAGGATTTGGGCCTCTTGATTTTCCTGCAGAAGTGCAGGAATTGTCTTCCATAGCTGTCAGATTTCTCTGTACATCAGGCTGCATGGGTCACTGAAGATTTCAAGGAGCTGTGACTGCAGACACTGCACATGGAGTGAAACTTCACGTTTCTCACAGCAGGCCTGAGGGAAAGTAAGAAAAATGCTGGGTAATTAAGTGCTCAGCAGAATATGTGCAAGAGACAACACTGCTTCTATGCACAGGGTCTTGCATGAAGCTGTATCAACATTTACCTGCTGAAAATCCCCAGTTCTTGGGCTATGCCAGCTAACGTAATCAATGGGCCCACAGCTGTGGGCAGCATCCCTGCTGCTTCCTGCCCACGCCAGCCAAACCAGCTCACTCCTCTTCTGGGAGGTCATTTCATGCTAACATGAAACAGTTAAAGACAACACTTTTCCAAAGGTTTCCCACTTCCACAAACAGAAGGGACAAATGTGAGCAGCTACTGTGTCCCTGTCTGGGAGAAAGCAGAGGATCCCCAATGTACCTGCAGGTCACACCCCAGAGTGGAACAGCAAAATCACAGGGCTGGGATGGAAGGAGGAAGGTGACCTTCCTTTGAGCACATCCCAGAACTGCTTTCAACACTACTGCTATCCCCGAGCCTGGATGAAGCTGCCAACCTGTGCCACACACGTGCTTCTGCTACACTGCAGACTCAGCCAGGTTTTCTGGGATTGAGAGCCTATTTACCCAGGGGATTTCAGCAAATAGGAGATTATCTGATTTACAGTGTTTTAAAACACGTTCCTGAATACCTCTTCTAAAGTGAAGGTGATGCCATGGGTAATTCCTGATTAAAGGAGGGTATAAAAGGAGGTGGCTGATAGCGAGCTCATTATATCCCAATCAGTCTTGATTAGGAAGGGAAAGCTGTGTCCTTATTAATAGTTTCTCTAATTGCTTTCTCTCCTTGAGACCATGGTAGCCCGCTGCCTGCTTGTGCCTGGAGGCCTCAGGTCAGAGCTCAGCATAACTCATCCTTCATCCATCAACATGGGGAGCTATAAATAAATGGTGACACCAGAGAGCAGAGGAAGAGGTGGAAAGGGATTGTGCTTCTCAACCTGAGATACTCGGTCTAGTCAGTTTATCCAACAGAAGGTGACTGGTGACAATCCGTAAATATTAACCAAGGGGGAACTATTTCTGGTAGCTGAAGGTTCTGGCCTGGCAAAGATAACACAAGATTTTCTGGCTCTTAGCTGGAGCTGGGCAAATTTGGACTAAAATGAAGTTGCAGATTATTCAAAGTGAAGCAAACAGCTGCATGTTCTCCACTAAGAAGTATTTTTAAATCCTCAGGACCAGCTTAGTTTCAAGATCTGCTGCAGCTTATCCCCTACCCCCCCTTGCTCCCCCCCCCCCCCCCCCAAAAAGCCCAATTTGTGACTGAGAAGGAATCACTTGGGAAACCAAGAGGTGATTGCAGGTGATTCAAATGAGCCCTGGCAATTCATGCCAGAGGATTAAAGACCTTATAGTGACAGTCATCCCTCTGACTTTGATCCCTCCTCCTTTCTGCCACTGGCTGTTGCTGCCAGCATGAAGGGAACACGCTCACCTCTGGTGCTTGCAGCACAGTCACCTGAACAGGAGCAAGCCCAGCTTAATTAATGCAGCTGTCTTGGAGGGGACTGCAGTGAGGCTCGCACATCCCTCCCTCAGCACCAGGGAAGCAGGAAGACCACTGAGGAGAAAATCCGACAGCACGCCCTGCCAGTAGGCAGCAGCGTTTGCCTGGGAGACCCTGCCCATGCACACATGGTAAGAGCTGGGAAGGAAGGGATGCTGTGAAGAGACCTTGCTGTGGAGGCACACAGACGGGAGCAAGGGACAGGGAGCCCTGTCATCTTCTCTGTCCCTGCTGTAACCTGAATCACACATCTAAGCATTCAGCACCCTGCACTGCCTACAACATGATGCTTCATGACATAGAAATCTGCAGGCAGAGAGAGGGAAGTAGAAGCAGTGTATACAGCAATGAGGACCTTGGGAGGTGCTGCTACAGACACAGTCATTCCACCTCCCCGTAAGCAGGAATGCCTATGCCTGCACAGGTATGCGTGTTACACACAAGCATGCTTACACTCATGCACCTACCTTTGCTAACAGCAGAGGCAGGCACAGAGTCCATATTTTCCAGGTTTCAATTCTATATCTGCAAAAAGCAAGTTCACTCCTGGTTTTGAGTCCCTGCAATTATCATGAAATGCCTCCAAGAGAGCAGCTCTGTCTTCTCGGTTGAGCGAAACTTTGATGTTCAGCACTGCATTCAGATGTTCCTTCCTTTCCAAAAGGTTAAGAAGGCAGGTCAGTGAACGAGTCAAGGAAAAAATCTTGCTTTCCAACACTCAGTTTTGCTGGACCAGACCAAAGATTTGAAACTGCTGAGCTGCTTTTTGACACCTACTGGACACCTAACAAGGAGGAGGCCATATCACAAAAGCTCTGTGAGATATGGCTGAGTTCATGAGCGCCAAGCCTAGTGCCCACAGCATCCCCATGAAATTGAAGGAACCTTCAGTTTAGGTTTCTCCTAGAAAAAGATTGCATTTGAAATTTGCATTTGACCATTTGGAAGCATTTTTTATATCTTTTCAAACGGAGCTACATTTTGTTCATCTGGAAGGTTCTAAGACTTTTGCTCTACATAGCACTGCTTTGCTGAGTGTGGCCACACATTTTAGTCTGGTTAACAAACAGGGCAATTGTATCCAAGCCAAACAATTTTAAATATACAGGAACCTGCTGAAATCAAGACCTGTGCATCTACTCACACCAGGATGACCTCCTCTGAGATCTGGATCAAAATAATCTTCTGAGTACTTTCTATGCCCACTTGCTATATAACTATATATAAATATATAGTTATATATATGTGTGTATATATATGCAAGAGAATAAGAATTGCTATACTCTATCACATAAGCAGCTTTTACTCAATAGCATCTTCAAAAGTAGGAAAAGAATACAGAAACCAGATGAAGCATAACATGATCTCTGTGTTTCTTGGGGTTTTGCTTCTGACCGTTTGCAGTTTAGGGAATTCCTTCACTGGGGGTTACACCATGCCTGTCATGTTGAATAGGCACTGAAATAATTATCTACCACAAATTGTCTGCTTCCCATTTGAAGCTATTCACACTTTTGACCTTCACAGCATCCTGTGACAGAGAGTCCTACACTGTAATCATGTTAAGTTGGAAAAACACAGTCACCAGCACAAGACATCAGAACAAAAAATAGGTGTAAGAAACCACAGACTTTGGAACAAATGCAGTTACTAAGATCGCACCTTCTCTAATAAATATTGGGTTTCCTTTCTGTTAACAGTTTCCTGTGGGAATGGAAGTATATATTCTCGCTGAATACACCTAGAAATTCGTGGAAATAGTTATACCTAGAAAAGGGTTGGTGAAGTATTAAAGCCAAATGCTAAATACTTGGAAGTTATGAAATGCCTGAGTTAAGGATGCTCTCGAAACCTATATGTGGCACACATGTGCCTGTAAATTGTCCATTCAGGTAGTATTTTTCCACAGCGCTCCTGCTTTGTTGACAACCGTTTGATCAAGCCTTCACCTTTACAGAAGGACAACTCAACTCCACTGGTTAATGTCTGTCAATGTTATAAACCATGTTAATCAGCATCTGCAAATAGACAGCACTGAGTACATTCAAAGGTAAACATTGTGCCTGGCTGAGCACACTGCTAAATGTATCACAGGACTAATATTGCTGTAGGTCTTCTGGTGGCAAGTAATCATGCAAGGAACTGCAGAAGTCAAACCAATAAAACACCTTACCTTAGATCAGGAAATTCTCTGAGAATAGGCAAAAGGGCTATTTTCATCCTCTCAGAATCAGAAGCTTGAATAAGCTCTAAAATTGCTTGTATAGGATCCTTGAGGTGACCAGCTGCAGGACCCTGGGGAGAGAAGTAAAGGTGTGCTCAGGGCAAGGAAAGATGCACACGTGCTAAAAGCTGGACTCGCATTAGACTGAGGATCTTGCTGCATGGGTTAGGAGCTTTGCAGGCCTGTCTGCATGTATAGAAGCCTGATTTCCCTCTAGAATAGGAGAAAAGAAACTGGGGTGTAGCCACAAACTTCTTCCAGGGCTGGGTGACTACCTTCTGCAGCGCAGGATCCCCTCCTGCATTTCCTGTGGCAAAGCAGGCAAATATTCCATATTATTCCCTGCACTGTCTGTCCTCTCAAGGCCCTTTTGTCCTTTGGGAAGTGTTTTGCTTCCAGAAGTAAGCACAGCCCTGTACCTATGTGAAAACAAGCTCTGTTGGCCAGACACTCTGGCATTTCTGCTGCCCTGGAGTAAGCCCAGGGACAGAAAATCGACCTTGGAGAGAGGGTGAGGGGACCAGATCCTCTATCAGCAAAACAGAAAAAATGGGAAGCAGGGCTGGACTCTGTAAAGGATATGACATGGCTGGTAGATGCATATGGTCAGCTCTCTTTAAACTGGAGCACACAGAAGAAAGCCTCACCAAGAAACATACAGCATTTTTAGCAAAGCTGGATAAAGCAGAATGCAGATGAACTGCCAAGAGAGAGCTTCAGGTCTTGCCCACATTTTTCATTGGTGCAGTAATGCGATTAAATTGCTTTCCTGAATTATTGATGCCATCACGTCAACAGAGACTCTGTGACAAAGCAAACCTGGAGAACAGGCTGCCAAACTGGAGCAGGAGAAGCCCAGGCTCCCCTGATCTCCATGGGGCATTAGAAACAGCAGGCCATATTCTCTGTGGGGCTTACCTCTGCACTGAATATAAATCGAAAATATAAATAACAATATCCAAAGACATTGTTCTCTCTCTTCCTCTGCACTGCAGACACACAGCACGTCTAGCTCTGCACACCGCACAAGCTGCACTCAGCTCCTAAGGCACCGATACTGCACAGCTTCATACTTGGCAAGCTCACTATTACAAAATGCTAATTAATTTGAAGTTGTCAGATTTCATTAAGCACTATATAGACAGGCAAGGTCAGAGGTAAACAATCTGCAATCTAAAAGGACAACAAAGAGGTGTCTTGTCAGCAGTACTTAAGTGCCTCTGACACATACTGCTCATCAGAGAGAAGCAAGGTATTACCTAATGTGTTTGAGGACCGAGGGGAAGGAAGAGCCTGAAGAGAGGGCAGAGCAGGGCAGGGAGCAGGTGCAGCCTGTGCAGCAACTGCACGATAAATTCTGTCCATAGCAGAGTACATATTTTGCATGCATAACCATGTACCTCATTTGAGTGAGGATCAGGCTGTCCCCTGCAAATCAAGGCTCCCACTTCAAGTAAGAAAGCAAACAGGCTGGGGACGCATGGGAAGTAGTGCTAACTAGATGAAGACTTTTTCCACCCAAGCTGAAGCTAGGGGTTTAGTAGACCAGCTTTCCTTGCACATTACATCCAAAGCTGATGCTGAGCGCAGCATTACTGGTAAACTTCAGAGTTAAGATTAGAGAATCCTCCTGCTATTCCCAGTGGTTCAATTGCTCAAAGCATTGACTCATCTGTGATTGATCACTCCAGGAGAGGCGGGTCTTCAGCTAAAAGCACTGGCAGCTTCCAGCTTTCCACCATGAAACTAATGCATTAATTGTAATGAGTCTGACAGCTTTTTAAAGGAGCCTACAGATGATCATTTCAATTTCATTTTATTCTTTGGACAAAGTAAGAATTGTTGACAAATGACTTGCAGGGGCACTCAAATGGGCAAAAATAGATTTCCAGTCCCTAGCACTTAAATTCATGAGTTAGGAAAATGACTCGGGATTTTTGAAAGTATAAAAAAACAGTAAAGCTGTGTTCTTTTATCTCCTCTGTCACATTTGAGTCCTGTTACCAGACTGATTTTGCAACCATTAGTGTGGTGCTCAGTCCAGCCTCTTATGAGGCGCTATGTGGGCACTCTCGGCCTGCATTTATAAAAGGGCTGTGCCAGGGCACATTGCACTGCAGTGATTTTCTGGCTGGGTTGAGTGGCTGCAGGGGGGGATGCTGCTGGCATTGTAGTCCTTGCCCTTGGGTAATCAACGGACCCATGTGACAGCCTGGTGGCATCCACAGATGCTATGTGCAGCACTGCCAATTACACCAGATTATGAATTAAGCAAAGAGACTTTTTTAAGCTTCTAAAGTTTTTTCTACAAGTTAGACCTAACATTTTCCCGCAAGTTTTCTTTGACTTTTACACCCCATCTGTCCCTTCTGCAATACATCTTTACCTCCTAATGGTGAGTTTTCCCTTGCAGGAAGACTCATGCCTCCCTGTGCAGCCATCACCAACCACAACAGCATCATCATGTTTCCACCCATGAGGAAATGCTGCAGCACAGGAAAATGGCTCATGCATCAATCAGCTCAGCTCTGAGAGGCTGGGAAGGGCCTGCGGGAGCAGGGAGAAGGCTGGACGGAAGGGCAACAACGCAAACACCATGTCCAGGGAGGAGCAGTCATACAGAGCAACACACGGAGAAGGTGAAGATGTGGGGCATCTAATCTGGTTTATCAGTCCAGAGGCTCAAAGGGAAGTACTGGCAGAAACACAGCTCTTCCTCATCTGCACCCCTATGCCATGTACCAAGGCTTGCCTGGGGGAGCTGACAGCTTTGGAGCTGTCACACCAGCTCAGAGGAACTCACCTCATTCTTACGTCAGTGGCAGGAGTGCGAAACTTGTCTCCTCTAGTCATACATTTCAAAACTATAAACTAACAGCTTCTGGCAGATCAGAAGGGCCATCAGCACATCTGACTGTCATTTCTGTGAAGCTGGTTGCCACTGTGGTAAGACCCTGTAAGCTTTTCTGTTGCTTTCAGAGCCTTTTCCTCTGCTGGTACTGTTCTTGATGACAGAGCAAAACTGTAACCATATCAAAGACTTACTAAGCATTCTTTAAAGATGTCTTGCAGCATCCTATGGTCTTCTTCCATCTTGCTGACAATCCTCCTCCTCTGCACAGAAGACAGTTTCCTGGAAGTGGTCAGGAGGGCCTGCACGTACTCTGCAATAACAATGGCGTTGACAGCCTTGACAAGAGCCTGCTCCGGAGCAAAGACACATAGATTAACTTCCCTTTACTGAGCAAGCACCAAATCATACCTGTAGGGCTCTGACCAGTGTAGACAGTGGATATTCTGTCCATGCAGCTGGCTGTCCCATTTCTTTGCTTAAGTATTCCTTTAAAATGCCTTGTCTAGTACATGGAGTATCTCCAAGCTGCATGTGGATGACATAAACATTGGTGGTAAGTGTGGAGTCATCCAACCAAAAGCAATAGGACCAGTTAGCTGACCCAAAGGCCACTGACACTCCAGAGCAGCAGCAACACTTGCCTTAGCTAACAAACATATCACCTGGGGACAGCTTGGTCTATAGACAAAGCCAGATCCAGCCTCCCTGGATCATCCCCCACCAGACACGGCCTAGGGCAATACCTTTGGGCACACAGTTGTGGCTGGGCACAGAGAAGTCACCTGGACATCTCTGAGCCATCCCCTACCTGCGGAGAAACCCCGTTGCCAAGATCATGCAGTGCCCAAAAGGGAGAGTGAGGTTTCTAAGGGGAGATGGGCTGCTGCATATAAACCACGTTTCATTAGCAGCTGAAAACAAAGCAGTGTTAGGCTGCAGTCCAAAGGTACAGGAAATCCCCAGCCCTGTCCAAAACAGACAAAGCAAGAGATGGACAGCTCTGGCACAGTGCTCCACTACCAAGCTGCTGTTTGCCCCAGCATTAATGTGACATAATGTCCAGTGATCTGTCATAATCTTACATAATGTCAGGATACGAACAACAAAAGGATAGCTTCTATTTTTTTTTTCTGTTCCATTACCTTTTTCCACACATCAAAATATTAATTAAAATCAGCACTGACAAAGACCCTGCAGACCTGAGAGTCCAGTGCTTAGGGGACATGTGCGGCACAGGTAGCAGCAGCAAATCCAACCTGTGTGGAAAAGAGAGTACCCCGGGTACCAATCTCATTATCAAAGAGACAGACTCAAGGGTGCTCTGAGACTCTAGAAAAATTGTTTAGGCTACCTTAAAGGTGAAAAAACTCAAGTACCCTGTGAACTTGTTCTTTCCCAACCCTTTGCCTGAGAGACTATGTCTTTTGGGAATCTGGCCCTTTCCGTTCTCTGTGTGTCCACTCTCCATCAAAGGCATAAATACTCCTTATAACAAACGTTAAAGCACATTAGAAGCTGAGAAGATTTCCAATATTACTGGGGCAATGGCAGAATCGGAGATGGCCCAATGCTCCCTTCTCTATTTGGGAGATACATTCATTTTCCACATCTCTTCACTTGGTTTCTCTGCTGAGATTACAGATTAAAGACGATATCCAACTCTGTTGGATAGAGGAACTGGACTGACACCACTTTAAAAGCTCTTTTAAAAACAGACAAAACTGTAGTTTGGATTAATGTTCCAATACTGTGCCATCCAGAGGTTCAAGGACTAGTTTTGGTAATTTCTTGAGTAATATCTTGTTCTTACCTTCTTACTTATTTCTTACCTCATATGTGTCTGTTTTTTTCTTCCCAAATACCAAAAAACTTTGCTTTAAGGATTCAAGGATGTGGTGAAAACTGCTGTCACACTTTTTGAAGTGCTCCTTCAGTGTTCCCTGAGGAAAAGGGGCAGACAGAGTCAAAGGGTGCACATGTACAGACACCACAAAGACAGCAAACATGGACTATTGTGCTTTTGCTTTTTCTGCTTTCGGAAACAGACTCCCCCATGAGCTGCAGCATCCTGTGCCTTCATTTCAAAGAAAAGAAAACATTAAAGAAAGAAACAATTCGAACTTAGGAAGGATGTGTTACGTTCTTAAGACCAAACCTGGAAGACTGAAAACTATAAAAAATGGGTTACAATAGGTGTAATCTGGGAACTATGTAAAATGTGCCCCTCTGGATGGGGAGTGGAGCAAGAACCAGCCATTCTGCACCCTTCTGCTCTGACACCCTGCTGCCAGCATGGCTGTTGCCTCTTATGCAGTGGGAAAGTACAGAGATCATTTAGAAGGTAGGCAGGGCATAAATTCAAAGCCAACATTGACACAGTCAGAGAAGGACTGAAAGCCTGAGACCTGGGTCTCCTGTTCCTTCCCAGGGTTGCCCACCTCCAACTCCCACCTTGACATGTGGGCCAATGGGACTGGCTGGCAATGAGCTCTGGAGACCAAAGCTGCACAGTGTAGCCAGAGTTTCTTTTGCCATTTTTTTTTCCTGCCTTCAGCATGCTTGAGGGAACCTGTGCAATGAGCCTGAAGATGCTCAGGGGAGCTTCTCAAGGAAGCATACACAACCACATGCTATTAGGAGCCTGCAATTGTGTGCAATTTAGACGTGGAGCATCAGATACGAATATGGGTGTCTGGGCCAATAGTCTAATATTAGAAAGTATGAAGGGAGCGGAACTTATCCCAGGGGACAGGTATATTTCTGATCAGCCTTCTCTATCTACATCCTGACTACCCACCTCAGCCTTGGGTCCTGCGAGTTATCACTGCCCTGGGAAGATGCCCAGCCGCTGGGGATGAGTAGGTATCAGGTGAGGTTCAACCCTTGGGGTCTGGGTGCTCGGGAACACCATGAGGTGCCCATTTGTAGCACAACAGCAAATACTACCAACAGTGGAACTGGGATTCCAAAAAGTGGAAAAGATGAAGCTGTCAATATACAGCTTCAGACAAGGCAGAGGAGGGCACTGGGCCTGAAGATCAAACTATGGTTTCAGTCCTTCCAAATGAGGACATGAGAGTGAAGTGCGTGTCTGCCTTACAGTCTGAAAATATTCAGTATTAATGTGGGTTTCCCATACCTTGACTTTAGAAGCCACTGTCTGCAGAAAATGCTCAGTAATCTCATCTTCCATCCTGTCTAGAAATCCATTTACCTTAACATCTTGACCAGTGCTGGCACTGTAAATGTATGTTAGGTTACGCCAGACAGCCCTGTTAAAAAAAGTATATAGAAAGTACTGATCAGATGAAATCAATGAAATCAGGCTGTTCTCTCAGATTGAAACTCTTCCTACTGTAACCAAAACATCATTAAATTGAATGGACACGTGCTCAGGTCCAGGACTAGCTCAGTGGCTTGCATATGTGTACCCATCTTTTGGATGGCTCTCATTAAGATACTGCCAGAAGGACACAGAAGCTCACTGCACACAGATGCCACTTGTATCCATCACTAGTGAGTTTAGATAAAAAGTCAGTATTTCAGAAAGGAGTAGGCATAAAGGGGCCTTGATAAACGGGGCTGGATGAACATCCTGTGTGCCTCTGACACCTACAAATACAAGACAAGCAATTATCTTCCATCAGAACAACCCTCAAGTCAGGAAATCCTGGTTAAAATGGTCACCAGCTTGAAACTGGACATTTTACTTTCTGGAAAAACTCACTGTGTAACTTCATTCTCAGTATCACTGTAAAGAATTACATAAAAGAGCCTCATAAGTATTCAGTCTAGGATTCAGGACCAGCACCATGGAAATACAACAAACAAAACTCAGCACAAGGCTCTGATGTCAAGTATGCTGGATTTGGGCATTTTGCTGACTCCAGAGATCCCTGGATAATTTTACACAGGAGGAAGAGAAACAACCTTGTTTTCTTCATTGCTGCAAGCACTCCTGAAATTAGCTCATAGGTGCAAACAGCCTCCCCCATCCTTCTGCTCGTTATTGCTTCCCACCTTCCTAGCAACCCCAGGGAAAGCCTGTCATGTTCAGCTAGGTTTCAAAGCACTTAAGCTTGGGCTTACCCTGAAGTGCACCAGCACATGCATCTCAGTGCAATGTTTATGAGGCTTTCTTAATGAAGAAGAATGAGGCCAGGGAAAGGAATCACACAACAACACATGGCAGGGTTGGCCAGAATAATGTTCCCACATGCAACACAGCATTGCTGCCTGCCTCAGTGTCGTGGGCACCAGGAAGAGTAAGATGGTGGAGCACAGGATACGGCTCCTGCACCTGCAGGGCCTGGGAGCAGGCAAGATGCAGCAGCATGATGCTGCCAATGCAGCAATCGTGGCCCTGGCCACAGATACAGCCCCTACCTGAGTCTCCCTCTCCTGGAACAGCACTGAAGGGTCTTGCTGACTGCAGCTGGTTCCCTCCATGCTTAAGGGCTGGTGTGCATGGAGCTGGATGACCAGCTCCAAGGAGGCAAGGCTGACCCCATAGCAGAGTTAGAAGGAATCAGACTGCAGAAAATTAATTTCACTTCCCATGCTACTAGGGCCTGGTTTCTAACCTGATTATGCAGCAGTTCTCCAGGATCGATAAGCCACTGTAGATCTCTGGGCAGCCATCGAGCTGGAGAAAGTTTCTTACTTCATTTTCATAGCTAAATTAAAACAGGAAGACACATCTTTAACTGGTGTGCTTTATTACACATCTGACAGCATCAGATCAGCAGCAAATGGAAGAAACATTCCATGAGTATTTGTCTTCAGCATGCACAGTTTCACTCCCCAAAACGGGATCTACAGCAGGACCAAGCCTGGACAGTGGCCATATGGCTGCCCCTCTTTCTGGTTGTTTTTAGGTCTGAGCCTCTCCAGAACATCCCCAAGGCTTTAACCTGTCAAGACAAGTCCAGGTGCACTTTGTTCCCTCAGCTTTACTCCAACCGCAAATGCTGAGCACATGAAGAGCAGTGAAATGCTGCCTCTTCAGTAACAGCTGGATGGGAAACAGCCATCAAACCGAAGAAGGGCAATGGCAGGTCCAGGTGAACAGTGCATCACCAGTTGCTTTATCAGGATTTCTTTCTTTTGAGCACTGAGGAAGTTGCCAAGGAGGAAACAGCGTCCTTCCTACCTCTCCAGGAACCTCAGGCACTCCTCCAGACATACAGCTTCCACCTTCTCACTCAGGCTCTCACTGACATGCCAGGCAGCCTGCGTCTTCTCTGTTAGTATCTGTAGATTTCAAGGCATGAGAGGAGAGCAGACCAAAGCCATTTGTTCCCTATGCAGTGAGCAGGAATACATCCTACCCCTCATGCTGCTGCATATCCCCCTGCCTTCTGGGTAACAACTTCAGGTTTGGTTTTGAGAGCCTTTGTGGAAATAAAAGGAATTTTTAGGAGCCTGATTTTAATGTCTGATCCTTTACCTTTGCTACCGTCACTTTCATTGTAGTCAACAGGCTGGAGTCAAGTCCTGTGCTTGGGGAAGAGCCTATCCCTATAGATGTTCTCTGCTAGCTATGTCCAGCCTGGCAGCTCAGCTCAGTCGAAGACCTACTATCTGCAGGAGCACCTGCACTTCATTGTGACACCCTCACAGATGAACTTGGATTCAGATGCTATAAAGAAGGTTAGGCAGCTCTCACTGCCCTGCTCCTCCACCAGGAGTGACTGAAGAAGACAGGCATCATCTCCCCAGCCACCACCTCTCACACCTGACACAGCAATACACGTTAAACCCTACCGTGTCTGCCTCACCATGCTGACCCCAGCTGGGGAGCCCAGGTGCCTGTGTGCCAGACAGCCAAAATCCACTCCCTATTGGGCAGCCTGGAGCAGGTGGTAATGTAATGCTGCCCATTAGTTGCTCCATGGAAACAAAAGCTTGCAAGGGGAGGAGAGCCAGGTGGATAAAAGGAGACAGATGGGCTCATACACTGCGCTCTCCTAGTGCTCTGGGAAGCACCAGCCGCAGACAAAGGGTGACTCACATCAGGAACGGGTTTTTCCACTGCTCACAGCAGATGTAACAGTTCACCCAAATGGACGGGATAATATATGCCAGCCCAAAGTGTCAGGAAACCACAGCTGATGAGTTTCCATGACACCTTGTTCATTTTCTATCTGATCTGTAAGTGTCACCCTGAGAAAATTGATGAGGAGGAGGTAATTTCATAAGGCTTGCCTATTTATCCAGGCTTTTCCATCACCTGCCCTAGAGCATCCTAGCCTGTCAGTTACATACATAACAGAGCAAAATTTGGTCATGCTTCAGCATGGCCAAATGTTGCAGATATGAGGACTACAGCATTCAACCAGGCTTTGGCCTGATTCCCTTTAGAAACTTTTGTTCTGTCAGCTAAAAGTGGGAAATAAAAAGCTACCCTAGAACAGGTGCATCACTGAGTACATCACTGCTCCACCACTCCAAGGTGATGGGGCAAGGTGAGGAGGGAGCAGTCGTCTCCGTGAGCTCTGCACATGGCACCTGGGTCTGAGTTGGGTCAGAAAAGCCTCTTTTTGCCAGATGAAGCTGTATCCTTTCCAGGAAGGCCAGCTGCTATTGATCTGCAATGGCCACCACCAGCCTCCAGTGGGGTGCCTGAGGTTGTCTGCCATCCGAAAAGACCATGGGGCTACTTCCCTCTCTTGTGACCTGAAACAGGACAGCCACTGTGGTGGTGGCAGGAAAGAAGGATACAGTCACGGCAGCTACAGCCTGTCCCTGATCTCTAGCATCACTTGAGCATGTAAACCCCGGGATTTATTTTAAGCCTTTTGAGAGTCTTTATCCAAATGCCCTCTGGCCGTGGTATATACTGCTCAAACACCAGCAGAGCATGCTTCTGCAATGCCCTTTGCACATTCACCTTCACTGTGCTCTGCAGTAGTCCCTTGCACTGGCTAACCCATCAGGGCAGCAGTCACATTTGCACTGCCACATATGGGGACCTGCCATGGCTCAACAGCTTTCACTGGTTTTATAGAGGTGCTCTGCAGAACATACACTATGACTTCCCAAACAGGTTACATGAAAATCCAGGTGAATATATAAAAATGCAGCTTCAGCTTGAATCAGCTAATCTCAGCTCATCATTTTTTACGTAGTTTAGTTTAGTTCTCTTTACAGATGTACAAGACAAAAACAAGTCTGGGAGCAAACAGATACAGTTTAAGGATGGCACCTAACTTGCAAACTTTTAACACATCAAGCTTAGCCCAAGACATGCAAAACTGGGTCTTGCCAAATACCTACATATTTGTGTGCGAAACCATGACTGCCCCAAACTACAAGAGCTTTTCAGTCCCCACCAGTTTACCTGAATCACTGCAGCATCTGCACAAGGGGGTTTCCCAATATCAAAGGCTTCTTTCAGGGCTTTCCCTACTTCCTTCTAAATATTGAAAGAACAGAGAAAAAACAGTTGAGATATAATGGCATTCGTTAAGAGTTAGGTTTCCCAGCCTCATTATGCATTTGGACTAGATGAATTTCTGCCTCTATTTTTTGGCTGTCTCATTTAACCCAAAGCCTGGCTATTTTCCAGCTGACCTAATAACATTATTCTGTTTTGTTCTACATTGTTTGTTTGAGCTTAAATGATTTGCAGCTTCCTTTCATCCCAGTGTCAGCTCGGGTTATCTACAGTCTTCCCTAGTTCGCTTAGCTCAGATGAAGGCACCCACACAGCAAAACAACACTTAGACATTATTCTGTGCTGCCAGCTACTGTAGCTGAGATTTTCCACCCTTCCTAGCTCCAACCAGCATCCGCATAAACCAGCCAGCATTAATTAAAAGCATTCCCTCACTTGAGCTAGGGACTTGTGAGTGCCAAGAGGAGCTGGGTTAGTGTTTAGAGCTACTGTCATGGTGAGATGAGCCCCATGAGGCTGCATTCTGGGAAATTTCCCAAGACTTGGCTGGCTTATGTTAGTTTGAATGGGCTGTAAAACCAAAACTAACAGTGCAGAGAAAGGCCTCATTGCTTAAAACAGGATCTGACCTTTCTAGAAGCTTTAAACTCAAAAGTCTGTCTCGCTTATTTATTCTTTCATTTCTCCATCTTCCCCCAAGGAAATAGAAAGAATGTAAAGTCTGATCTTCCCTTTCTGTCTTTGATCTTTTCTGGCTGATGAATTAGGAAATCTGTGGCTGTCACTTAAGAATTTCATCAAAAGTATACTCAAAAAACTGCTCTGCATACTCACTGAAGTGTTCATCAAAGACACATAAGGAGTTGTAAACAACCCAAGAAGAATTCCTTTCTTCCCGAGTGCCATCACCTGACAGTGAGCAATTGTGTAAATGCAACATGCTGAGATAACACATCCCAGCCGAGCTGCACAAACATTTCTAGCCTCCCACAGTTGCACACTAAAATGTGTCAGCTTAAGCCAACACAAAGATCTTGCTCCCCAATGGGACAAAGCACACATTTAGTTAGCAACTGCAAGGCAGTAACTTGCTGAGCCATGGTACTCAGACACATCAGATGATGTGTCTGAATTAATACAAACACCTCAGGCACCAAAGCTCCAACGTGGAGAGGAACAGAATTTCTGCTGTAATAAACAGACCCAGTTTCCTCCTTGTTCCTCCCTGTCTGACCAAGACACGGCACCCAATGCTGTAAAGCTTTAGATCCATGGGTGACCAGCTCACCTGTGCTGACTGCCCCACCAACCACTTCCTCTCGGAAAATGCAGAGGGCTGAGTTATAGATTGTGTCCCTCATCTGTCCAGCTGCTGTTCTAACATATGCAAAAACTTAACATCCTTGAGACCCCTACATCATTATTGAATGAGGTCAAAATTGGCTAAGATGCTCAGCATGTGTGGGAGTGCAACACCAATACAGCAGCAGGCAGGGGAGCAGAATAACCACACAGCTTTATTCATTTGACAGCAGCAGAGCCTCAGCCCAAACTCCAAAGCACATGAACTTCTCAGCCCTCCTTTCATCTACCTGAAAATATGAAGGGAGGGAAAAAGACGCAAACCCAAGTGATCCTTTGCAGGCCAGTGTAAACCTGCCTTGAGTTTTTGTCCATGTGTGTACGTCTGGCCCTGCCATCTCCATTTCTGGACAAAGAGACAGCTTTGAGCTGAGGCTGCTGAAGCAGGTGACAGAAAGTTCATTTTCCACCTCTCAGTACCAGAATGAACCGTGACATCATGCTGGAGGGTTTGCCTTACACTCATGTAAAATTCCCCACTACAGCAAGGCAGTGACAGATCAACACCCAGTCAATGGCACCATCATTTCTAGTTCCCCAACCTTGCAGCCTCAGAAGGCACAAAGCCCCCTTGCCCTGGACATGTGCAGATTGAGGGAACACTGCCTCTGTGCAGCACTGTCTGAGTTCCCCACAGGAGTGTTTGGAAGTGGTTTTGAGTCCCACGTGGCATCTAAGCTCTCAGCACCTTCAGATGTGGTCAGAGTTCTCATCACTAATTTCTGTTTAAAGTGCTTTCAGTCTGCACAGGTATCAGGCCGGCACTAGCAGTGATAAGCCAGGTATTCACAAGCAAAGCAAACCATAGCTTATTTTGGTCAGTCTCTTTTCTTTTAGAAAAACTTAGTCATCCACTGAAGTGACAAAACACACACCAGGTGATTTACAGTCATGATTATATACTACAGTCACCCAGAGATAACTGACTGGATATTTGCTCTTGGGCAGCTTCCTGTGTATTTGGAATAATGAAGGGCTGGAGTATCCTAGAAAAAGAAATAGAAGGATAAAACAAGTTTTATCAGCTATTCCACTGAGCTGAGTAAAGAGACATCCATCATTTTTCCATATGGAGTCAGCTCATCCCTACTTAATCTCATTAGCTTGAACCTGGAGCTGGTCCTAAGTTGGCCAGGTTTGAAGCAAGCCAAGATTCTGCTGTGCCACACACTCCGGCAATTCCAGCTCTGTTTTCTATGCACAACATGGCACTGTGTAGAGCTGCAATGCTCTACATTCAAGGTGGCACAAAAAAATGCAGCCAGCTCAGGGCAGCATAGTACAACCATGGCCAGATCTAGGTGAGCCTGCTCCATGCATGGTGTATCAGGAAAACAGCTCATGGTTAAACAAAAGCTTTCTCCAGCTCTTACATTAGAGTGAACAAAAAAAAAGTTTAAGTTCTCCATCACTGTTAGTCAGCATCTTTGAGGGCTTGTCAATGACCCAGTGACTTGCTCTAAGGTAACCTTAGCACTACCCTGAGTAGTCATTTCCTTCAACAAAATGGGTTCTAAAAACAGACCTTAAGAACATGTGGTCTTCCCCAGGGTAATGATTAGAAACAGGCCATAGGGATCCTCATTGTTAAACCCTAAAATCAGCAGGCTTTAAGCATCCTGTCACAAGCTGGCACTTCTATTTCCATGTTTGCCACTACCTTCATGCTCTCCTTCAGGAAATAGGTCTTGAGGAAAATCTCTGCAATTGAGAATACTTTCCCTTGGCTGATTCAGCAGTTTGCCATGGAATTTCCCCTCCTCTGCTCCCAAGGGGCTGGTGGAAAGGGAAAGCAAGTGATTTAAGTATGGTAACTCCTGCTGTTGCATTTTGGCTTTAGCTGAATCTAATAGGCCACGCTGAGTTTTCCAAATAGCATGGTTTCCCCTGGAGCTCCCTGTTGCTACAATGCATCTTTCCTACTTCATTTGTATTCCATGTGCTTCAATAACATTCTTCAAAGGGGGAGCTTTGCTGAGAAAAGAGAAATGCTGCAGCCCTGGAGCTGAGGTCAGCAGTGAGATCACAAGGCAGGAAGCCCTGCTCTGACCTTACTTGAGGGCTGTACCGGGTGTGCAATAGCTGCAGGATTGCTTGTGCCGGGCTCTGGAAATAATTGCTGTAGCCTCAGCAGTGTTAGTCCAGCAGGACGGGGAAGGCTGTGAGGGCAAAGCCTGCAGCCTCAATATCGTGCATAGCTGAGGCAAAAGGGCTATTAAAACCCCCACTGTGGGCTCATTAGCAGCTGGAGAGAAGAGGAATAGCATCCTGAAATGGCCCTCAAGAAGGAAGTGGATTTCACCCATAACCCCTTTTCTTCCAGATACATTGGCTTCTGAGCAGAGTAGATTGCAGCAGTAAAAAGATGCATCAGAGAGACAGAGGGAGATTTGCAAATGTCCCAGTATCTCTTTGCTAAGCAGCAAGGGCAGGGCAGCATCCTTTTGACAGAAGATAGTCATGGAGCTTCGTTCTGGGCTCTGTAATGAAACTTGGCCAAGATAGAGAGCTTGGACTCAAGCACACCTGAGCCGAGCTGGCTCATCTAGCAAGAGAGCAGTTAATTTAATAACAGGAGTTTTAAAACCATGTGAATAAAACATGCAGATTGGGGTAAAACTCTTACCCCAATCTTCATTCTTACCTTGGCGACTGCAAGTAACTTTTCCTCAGTCTTCAAAACAATCCACAGGAGACACTGTACACCAAAGGAAAGGCTGTGCTGGGGGGTCTGTCTGGGTCTCAGATGTGTCTCGTTGCCACTGTGTACAGAAACAAGAGCAGAGGGGCAGCTTCCCACTGCTCCACAGCCCATCACCCGCCGGGCACCCCCTGCTTGGCTCCACGGCAAAGCAAATGAGGTGCCCTGGAAGCACCCAGTGGTGTTTGCAGTGCCAGGGCAGCTGCAGCATGGGATTTATTATCATAACCTTTTGTCAACTATTCTTCTGTGCTCTTTCTTTTCCTTCTTCCTATATTTGCTGCCCAAATTACATATTTTGCTCATTGTTTCCCTTTCCCCTTCCCTCATTGCTGCTGCTGAATTCCTTCATGGGCTTGGGCAGAGTCACCCAACCACGCTTTCATGGATGTACCATTTTACAAGTGTCATGTATTCTCTCTGAATTAAATAAGAAGCAGCTATATACCAGGACAACTGCAACTACACATGGGCTTTCATTAGGGTTGTAACTGTACTCAAAGAGGAAAACCCAAATAGTTAAGTTTGGAATCTTTGCTGTTTTTAGTTCCACTTTCTTCACCACATTCTGACCTTACTACAGTCATGGGCTGCTTTTTCTTTTTTTTTTTTTTATTGAAGGAATTCAGCATTTGCATAAGATTTTTGTTCCTGTCTTTGAGCTTTCCTTTATATATTTAGATTACATAATTATTCACCTCCAATTCCATGCAAGTTTTCAATATTTCATCAATCCGTCACTCAAAAATTTTACCATTTTAAAAGCAGCAGTAGAATGGGTGTATCCTAGCCACATGTCTCCCATGGAGGTGTTCAAGGACGGGTTGCACAGAGACTTGGGTGACATGGGTGACATTTGACCCATTGAGTGTGAGGCATCCCTGCCCATGGCAGGGGGGGTGGAACTTGATGATCTTAAGGTCCTTTCCAACCCTAACTATTCTATGAGGACTATGAGGACAGCATGCACCAGCATGTACTCACCACCCTGCCTCCCTCCTTCTGGAGCTGGTGAGGGGAAGACCCCACCTGATGAACTGCTAATCGAGCATTTATAAGTGCAATCAACACCGGGAACAAAGGATGGAAACTTGCATGGAAGCAGTCAAAAGGGCTGAAAACTATTAGGGTATAAGTAGATTGGAGCTGTAAAATACCAAAGTAACCAGGGACTCAGAGAATCAAACACCTCATCTACCACTGTCACACAAAAAGACATCACAAGAAAGCTTCAGGCTTTGATGACACCCACAGACTTTTAATTCACATTGAGACAAAAGGTCCCAGATGTGCTGCTCTTCAGATCACGGGGAAAGCCACATCCATTTTCTCAATCTTGGGCAGGAATTTAATAACCTGCTATATGTTTTTCTTGTTACCTAAACACTAATGCAGAAAATATAAAAACAACTGGTCAAACTACAAGCCAGATAAAGCAGCAAGAGAACCATGGAGCCAACAAGAAAAGTTGCAGAGCACCATGATGACATAAAGGCAAGAGAAAATTATACTGGGGTAACTGGAGTATCATCGACCTTGCTAAAACAGTCTTAATACAAGAACAGAAACTGGTGAAGAAGGCAGGACACCATGCACGTCCAACAGGAGTCCAGCAGAGAAATAACTGCCTACCTCTGGTAAGCCCCTGAGCCCAATACCAATGACTTAGAAAAAGGCAGTACTGCAATGCAAAAAGGATCTGATTCTGAGAGCACAGAAGATAAAGCAGGGAGTGGGCAGGTCTAAACTCAACAAGAGTCCTGAACATCACTGCCTTACCAGGAAGCAGGGATCATGCTTGGAACTGAATAGAGACATAGAAAAAATGTACAGAAAAGGAAGTCCTTCAAACATACCTTTTATACATTTTAAGGCCCCATTCATAAACTAAAAGGCATTGGCTGAAGCTGAAATGGCTACTGTCAGTAAGCATGGCAAGGTGAGAAGACAAAGAGGCATGACAGCAGTAGGTGTAGGTGCTGAGCAGTCCTGCTTCCTGAAAGACATCACTTCTGTGCTCCAGGCTGGGGAGGAATGACATTTCCAGTTGAATCAGATGCTGGTTTAATGCATTCTCATTTGCATTAGCAGAGGAACTCAGCGGGGGAATTCGGGCTGTCATGTACTGTATTAGCTGTTCCTCCAGTTCTTTCCTCCAGAAGTTTGGACTCCAGGTGGAAACAGGCCCAGTCTCTTGGCTCCTGCCAAGCCACTCTGCTTCCTTCTGCTTCTCCCACTTCAGTGATTCCCCCACTGACTGCAATGGCTCCAGGAACATCCTACCACTTCCACTGAACGCTTCACCCACCACAGTCCACATTCGTTCAGCCAGTAGCTTATAAAGTGATTCAGACTTTCCCATCTCATCGTTTCCAGAATGCTCCAGATTATAAATATGATGACAAGCTTCAAGAAATTTTCCTTGCTCAATGAACCCACAGATGGCTTCTTCTGCAACACAGAGAGTAACAAGACAACTTAATGTTTCTTCACTCTTCTATAGGACCCATCACTTTAATATCTGAGTACTGAAGCATGTAGTTTATAAGTATCCCAAAATTCCTCAGAACCTACACAAGATCACCTCCCGTAAGGTCTAGCACTAGGACCTCTCAGTTTCCTCAGGGCAAGCAGTTTCTTTCCTCTTGCTTTCTTTCATCCTTTCTCCTCCAGGCTAACTAAGCCTGCAGACTAGTCATCTGTAGCTTTCTGCCATCATCCCAGCAGACCTCCTCATGTGAGCAATGCAGGTTCATTAATGACCATGAATGTATCTTTTGTCCAGAAGAAAAGCATTAGAGAAGGGACATCTTCTGCAAGAGCCAACAGGTGAAAGTCAAGCCTAGAAGGAATCCTCTGCCTTCTCTGCAGAAACCCTGGCAGGACCAAAGTGCTGCAGGCTGTCTTGTGAGGTCGCTCCTGCCTGTTCACAGTCTGGTAGGGTGTCATTCCTGCCAGTGAGCTCTTGTCTTAGACTGGGACTGCACAGCCCTCTCCCTGCCATGACTTTTCAACCAGGCCAAATGGCCAATGTGCTATTTTGCCCAAAGGTGAAAATCGGAAGGTGGGCTACCTATCTGCACTGTCTCAGCAATGAGAATTCACATAACCCGCCCATGACTTCCATGTCTGCAAGAAGCTGTGGCGACTGAGCCACTGTCCTGATCACCAGACACCCCACCAAGACAGACACAAAATCCTTGAAGTTCAGTAGTTGCAAGAAGTTTTCCACCAGTGCTTGTTTCTGAAGTATCTTACCCACCACAGCCAGCCCACCACTAACAGTTAAATGTAATTTCACAACAGCTGCAGATTAGGTCCTACGCATTTTATAGATGACAAAAATGAGCAATAAAGGGTTAAGAAGATTTGTCCAAAGGTATCTGGAGCAGAACCCAGAGGAAAAATCAAACCTGATGAAAACCCAGGGAAAGTTAAACAAGGCCAGAAGCAGTGGGACTCTGAAGCGTATTCAGGATACAGCTTTGGGTATAGAGTGAAGAATGAGAAGCATATGAGCTTCCGCTATCAGAATCATAGAATACTAGGTTGGAAGGAACCTCAAGGATCATCTGGTCAAACCTTTCTTGGCAAAAAGCTATCACCTGTACCTTAACTTTCATCTATGAAAATGCCTCATCTATGTAATAAGAATAAAATCAAACAGGACTGGAGGAACAAATGTGACACAAAATAGAGAAGGGCTGATGCAAGGATCTTCAGCAAAACAATGGGCAAGCTGCTCCAGAGGGGTCTAACAAGCTGCACTTGTCCTACCTCAATACAGGCAACACACAGGAGATGTTTACTGGGAACAATTAATTCATGTACAACCTACCTCCCCCTCCCTGCCTATGGAAGAACAGCACAGTCACACTCAGCAGTGTGTCAGTCATAAGTACACTGTTTTTCTCACAAGACATATCAGGAGTCTTTGCAGGGGTAAAAATAAGAACAGCAAGAGAAGTACTTGTGAGTCAAAGGGCAAGTGAAATACAGAGCAAGCCCACAGTTCATGAAGGACAAGAACTCAGGTGAAGGATTGGGAGGAGGGAAGTGTAAAGCACCTACTCCAGAAACTAACAAAAACAAGAGCCTGCAGTGCTGGGAGAGGCAGAGAAGGTCCAGGACTGTATCCAGAGATAACTTCAAGGTTACCTGCAGGCACCCTACCCTCCACTCCCTTCCTACTGGTTGCCATCTTCAGCAAATTCCCTGCCATCTCCACACCACCAGCCTTCTCTTCCGCTGCCTCTTTTCCACTGGCCACCACCTTCAGCAATTTTCCTGTCATGTTTTTCAGCTTCCCTCTCCTCTTTGCTTCTTGCTGCTTCTTCTCCTCATGTGTGGCCCTGGGCAGCATCCTTACATTTTCCCCGGCTGCTTTCTCCCACTTGCTGCCTCTTCCTGCAAAGGCTCCCCAGAAATACTTTGTCTTCCTCATCATCCGAGCAGGTTCAGACACCTTCTGTCCAACTGAGAACACTATCAGAAAACAAGAGTTAGAAATGTTAGAAAAACATGCAAGGTGATCTTAGCAGCTGTCTGCAAGAGAAGTCATTTCTCCCAGATTTGTATTTTCTTTCTGTGCTGCTACAGGCTTCAGCAGCCTTCAAAGAAGTGGACCCTGGTTCCTGCCCATGCTGGGTGAGGATATTTTTATAGGCTGCCTGCCCTTTTATGTAATCTCTCTCTCTCTTCTAGGAAAATGATGTCAAAACCTCACCCCAATCTAACCACCAGCACTGGGGGAAAGCCAGCGGGATTTTCAGCATTTTCTAAATTACTAAAGCATCCCTGTGTGCTGCCAGTTGTTTCAATGACAATCTTCTCAGTTTAAGGGAGTTGATTATTAATAGTTTCTATGAAGGACTTATCTCTTTCCACCCATGTGCCCCAGCTGCACCTGAGCTCTTTCTTGGCAGGGAAATCACGCCTGGCACTGTAGCCAAATTTTTCCTCACCTCCCAGCAAGCCTGGTGTTAGCCAACAGGGAAGTAAAGCCCTGGAGAATGGACATTGGTCTTCATGTTTTAGCAGCACCATTCAGAAGAGATAAGAGCCATCTCAGCCTTCTGGATTCTGCAATTTCATAGCAACTATATACACTATTTCATATTATTTTACATTTATAAACACACACATACATATATATATAAATGGCATAACATTATAGCAATACACATGCGTATGCACACATATAGGTCTATTCACCAGCCAACATCCACAGTGAAGAGAAAGAAGTATGCCCACTGAGTGCAAGGACGCTATTGGCGAGTCCAGGGCTGCTAAAGGTTCTGATCACAAACCTCAGAACACAAAGAAAACCTTTCCTACACAGAAAGTACCATTTAACTCAGGAGCATATGGTCAAAATAGATTTTCAAAAAGTCCCTGCATTGCTGTGAGAAAGACACTTCACTTGGAGATAAGCTGAACTGCTGCCCTTACCATGCTCTCTTTGCTTGGTAGTTACAAACTGGTTTTTATTTTTCCATTCCATTATCATAAAAATGAAATCAAGAACTTGAGGATTTTCATCATTTGAGCACAGTCTTGCATTACCCATTAACAAGCTGTACTGATTCAAAACCATACACTGATTTTGGGGGGTATGCATTTAAGAGGCATTTTTTTCCATACAGCATTCTAAATACGTGCATTCACCTTTCTGGGTTTAACGCCTGCAGTTTCTTCCAGGATTTTCTACATTTGCGTGACAGTAAAATTCCACTAGTTTCCTACTTGGAAAACAAGTAAATGTTATGTTGTTCTGGCTCTTTTACCAAGTGCTTAATTCCACCAGCATGTTATCATGGAGCCATTTGATTCATTTGTAATGACAGAGAGGAGGAAATACATTTCATTTGGAAGGACGAACAGAAATTCCAGCAGTGGTGATACATGTGAGTTGTTGCCAGTAGGAAGTACTGAGGTTGCACAACGCAGTGTTTTTCCCAGGTTGTGAAAAGAGTTGAAAGGTGAGAGGATTTATGTACATTCCATTTTGACCTTAATTTTTAATCGGCTGAAGTTAAAATATTTCTTCTGTAATATTATAGCTGCACTGTATATGAATACAAGACGGAGAAGGAGGATTAGTGATGCAGAGATGTATTCCAGGCATGCTGAAACCCTTCACCAACATTTTCCCATGAAAATTCCAACACAATGTATTTATGTTTCACTTCATCAGCATTTTTCCAACAAGCCAGCTCTAACAAAAAACATTTCCATAGACTCTCTGTGGAAGGAAATTGGATGTCATAGCACCAGTGCTGCAGGCAAGATTCTCTGCAGTATACAGATTACAAACACACTACAGTTGCAGATCATGCCCAAAACTGGGGCAACATGATGTATGGGAATTGCTGTATTTTCCCAGAAAACTTCTTTCAAGGGAATACAATATGAGCCTGTGGGGAGTGGCTGAGCAGAGATGGGCAGATTTCCTGAGGCAAGGACCACTTCTTACTCCATGGCCCACTCACTCCACCCAATCTAAGCCATGGTAGCCACTCCCCAAGATGAGAGTGCCCTCAGAGCACATCCTTGAATACTGTCACACCAACAACCAGCTGACCTGTTCTATCTTTACCTTGTTCACAAACCAGGGCCAATGTGTATGCATGGGCAAAACAGGCAGCTGACTCAGGGAGAAGGCAGGTAGGAGCACTCTATGAAGGGACAGCAAGTTGGGGATGGCCTTTCTGACTGTGGGTGCTGAGGCCGTCAGCAGCATGAGGTGACACCATATCCCTCCTGTGGCAGTGGGAGCAACAATCCATCATCACCCATTCTGCATACCTCTGCTCACAACTACTTTCCAAAGGCAAGGATTGAAGTATGGCATCAATGACAGGGAATGGAATGTACCAGGAGAGGACAAAGGAGCTGCCAAAAGGCCACCCAGCAGCCTGCTTTTCTGGGTCTATGTGCCTTAACAGCATATGCAGGGTGCACAGGTCTCTCTCCCCTCTGTCTCTATGAGCTATTTTACTGCTCAGGTTCTGCCATTAAACGTGGGGATGATCTGCTCTGCAAGAACATCTTCTACCACAGTGCTCTCACTAATGGTTTTATGCCTAGATAAGCAAAGTCTGCAAGGAAGCTACACCTTTACAGCAGGGGAGCTGAAAAGCATCCCGATCAAACTATAACAAAGGTTTTTCACAAAGCATTAACATAACACAAAGGGATTGCTTGCTGTCCAAAACCACCATCTTGAGGAGGGAAATTGGGACATTGCTATATTTCACCTGCCTCTTCCATGGGCTCCTGAGCTGCCCACCCAAGGGGAGTCCTTCCAAGCAGAAAGAAGGGCAGTAGGAAACCACAAAGACATAGCACAGTGACAAGCACTATTCTGCTTCTGAGCAATCTCCTTTGTCAGGTGTATCGAATGAGCCTCCTCTTCCTCAAAAGGCGCTTCTTGGAAGCCTGTCCCAGCCCCTTCTTCCTGGTGTTTCAATGCCTCTATTTATCCTCAGTGCAAGGTTCTGCAGGGGGTTCATTCTCCTTCCCACCCTGACCCATGCTATGCTTACTGCAAAAGAGCAGTTTGTCTTCCGGGACCATCCCCAGCATTCAGGAGTTTCCCCCATTGCCTGGAGATCCTGGAAAAGCCCACAGCCTCCCCACGTCACTGAGCCTGTGTTTCTATCTCTGAAAAACTGTAATTCCTTTGTCTGGGGGATGTTTCACTCAACCAGTGAATAGCTCAGATAAATTTTTATATTGTTTCTCTATTGACTTAACTCTTTATCTTGCTGCTTCCCCTTTCTTTTGCATTTATAGATAAAATCTCTTCATAATAATTGGGTTGTGTGCCTGACCTGAACAATAGCTGTTTGGTCTGGATGCTAATCAGATGAAGTCAGATTATTAGCACTTCAAATTAAATGACTTTGCAAGAGTCCAATTACGTTACTATTCCAATTCCAGCAATGCAGTGATGTCCCTGCTTGCTTTGCAGGGACTCTGCATGAACACAGTCAGGCATATACAATGGAAACTTTGTGCTCAGTAGCATCTGTTCTATGAAATACACTTGGTCCTAGCAGGCGAGCTGGATCTGCAGTATCTGGGGGTGTTTTCAACTCCCTTCTTGCTTCCAGAACATGCTGGTACTCTCCACAACTTTGAATCAAAGGCATAATTGATGGCGGAAAGGAATATTAATTAAGATAATAAAACACGCAGAGCATGGCACAGAAACACGGTGGTTCCCTAGGATACAAACTCACACAAAACCACTTTGGGAAGCTATGCTGTAGTCTGACAATGCATTCCTCCACCCACATGCAGCATCTTTGATTTCATCAGTAATCAAAGAACAGCCAGTCTGTATTACAAGCAAGGTAGGCTTTTTGGAGAGAGAGAAAATGAACAAACAGCACAAAAATACCCTCCCCTCCAGTTTGAAATTGCAACTGGCATTGCCATAGCGGTCATATGCAAGAGATGACTTCATTAGTTGTGCAAAATTAGCTGTTGGCCATTCTGTGGAAAGCATATATTTATTTTTATTTCCTAAAGAAATGAGACAATGCAGCCACAGGTTGCATGCATCTCTGTGTTCATCTGATCCCCTGACAAACTTTGAATGGCTTGTAAGGCAGGTTTAACCAATTTTAAAGCTAGCTTTAACCAAACTGACAGAGAGTGGCTGACACAAAATAGTGTATCATGAAAATATATTGCTGAGGAGAGAACATAGACCTTCACTGTTCCTGCTGAGAAACAAAACATGGCACAGCCTGTATCAGACACCAGAGACTCCACTCAGCAGTTCAGTTCCAAGGTACACAGACATGGTTTTCTTGGCTCTGCTCCTCGCCAAATCCCCTGTTGACTCTTCAGAGAACCTCTGTGTGTGCACGAGTAAATAAAGCAGCAGAAATGTTTAATACAAGCAACCTTTCCCATAGCAACAGCTGAAACAAAGCTGCTTCCCTGTGGCACCTCCTTGCCCCAGGCTGCACCCTCTTGCCTCCCCAACACCTGTGCTACATCAAACAAGCCAAAGAGCTGTGACTTTGGAGCTAATCTGGAGCTGCCACTGCTGCCTGACAGCCATGGTTAGAGCAAAGGGGAAATAAGGAATGTTCTTCTTTCTGCTACTGAGCATGTTCACTTGAGTAGCTCTTCTCCAGCCAGCCACTGATTTTCATCCCGTTTTGCAGAAGTTAATCTGACACTTCTGTCCTGCCCTGGATTTGTCTGAAACTGAAGGAATTCAGTTTATGATGAGGAAACGGATGGATTGATAGACAGACAGGCTGCATGGTCCCAGCAGTTTCAGAAACCATACTAAAGTCCTAAGAATAAGTTTCCCAAAGAACTGAATACTGCCCCTTTCCCTGCCCCAAATACTGGAACAAAATACATTTGGATGTGATATACAATTTGCACTGCCTCTGTTGTCCTCCTGATTGTGAGGACCCTATTCCAAACTGACCTCAATTTTCACTTAATTAGTAACC